CCCAGTGTGTCCCCAATGTCCCCAGGGCAATCGATGACAAGTACAGCTGGCTGGAGGAGTTCCCAGTGCTGTCCCCAATGTCCCCCCAGTGTGTCCCCAATGTGTCCCCCTGTCCCCAGGGCCATCGATGACAAGTACAGCCGGCGCGAGGAGTTCCCAGTGCTGTCCCCAATGTGTCCCCAATGTGTCCCCAATGTCCCCAATGTGTCCCCCTGTCCCCAAGGCCATCGATGACAAGTACAGCCAGCGTGAGGAGTTCCCGATGATGTCCCCAATGTCCCCAATGTGTCCCCCTGTCCCCAGGGCCATCGATGACAAGTACAGCCGGCGCGAGGAGTTCCCGATGATGTCCCCAATGTTCCCAATGTGTCCCCAATGTGTCCCCAATGTCCCCAGGGCCATCGATGACAAGTACAGCCGGCGCGAGGAGTTCCGCGGTTTCACGCAGGATTTCAAGGAGAAGGACGGCTACCGGCCCGACGTCAAGATCGAGTACGTGGACGAGACCGGCCGCAAGCTCACCCCCAAAGAGGTGGCGTGTCCCCAACACCCCCACGGTGTCCCCAACAGCCCTCACAGTGTCCCCAACACCCCCATGGTGTCCCCAAAACATTGTACAGTGTCCCCAAACCCCTCACGGTGTCCCCAGCACTCCCATGGTGTCCCCTGTGTCCCCTGATCCCAAAATATCCCCAAGCCTCACGGTGTCCCCAGTGTCTCCGATGTCCCCAATCACCCAATGTCCCCAGTCCCCCCAATGGCCTTGATGTCCCCGCTGTCCCCAATGTCCCCAATCCCCCCAATGTCCCCTGCTGTCCCCAGTGTCCCCAATGTCCCCCCAATGTCCCCAATGACCCCTGGCTGTCCCCTGGCTGTCCCCAGTGTCCCCAATGTCCCCAATGTCCCCTGGCTGTCCCCAGTGTCCCTGCTGTCCCCAGTGTCCCCAATGTCCCCAATTGTCCCCAGCCCCGAGACCGCCGCCTTCATCCGGCACCTGGAGCAGGAGCAGGCGCAGCGCGCCCGGAACCCCCAGGAGCAGAAATCCTTCTTTGCCAAATACGTGAGGGACCCCAAAACCACCCAGCCCCCAGACACCCCAAAACCCACCCCAAACAGCTGGGGAACCCCAAAATCCACCCAAAAATCACCTGGGACACCCCAAAACAGCTGGGACACCCCAAAACCCACCCAAAATCACCTGGGACACCCCAAAAATCACCTGGGAACCCCCAAAACAGCTGTGACACCCCAAAACCCACCCAAAAATCACCTGGGAACCCCCAAAACCCACCCAAAACAGCTGGGGAACCCCAAAACCCACCCCAAACAGCTGGGACACCCCAAAACCCCACCCAAAAATCACCTGGAAACCCCCAAAACCCACCCCAAAACAGCTGGGAGACCCCAAAACTGCTGGGGAACCCCAAAATCCACCCCAAACCTGCCAGACATCCCAAAACCCACCCCAAAACAGCTGGGACACCCCAAACCCACCCAAAACCAGCTGGGACACCCCAAAAACCCACCCAAAACCAGGTGGGGAACCCCAAAACCCTGGCTGTCCCCAGTGTCCCCAACGTCCCCAATGTCCCCTGGCTGTCCCCAGTGTCCCCAACGTCCCCAATGTCCCCTGGCTGTCCCCAATGTCCCCGCTGTCCCCTGGCTGTCCCCAGTGTCCCCAATGTCCCCTGGCTGTCCCCAGGCCTTCCGGCAGCTCTCCCATCGCTTCCACGGGAAGGGCTCGGGGAAGATGAAGACGGAGAGGAGGATGAAGAAGTTGGATGAGGAGGCGGTGAGGGGGATTTGGGGGGATTTGGGGAATTTTGGGGGGAATTTGGGGGCATTTTTAGGGATTTTTGGGGGAATTTTGGGGTTTTTTTGGGGATTTTTGGGGAAATTCAGGGGATTTTTAGGACCCACCCCATGCTCCCATTGGGGTCTCCACTCCCATTTTGGGGTCTCCTCTCCCATTTTGGGGTCTCTTCTCCCATTTTGGGGTCTCCACTCCAATTTTGGGGTCTCCTCTCCCATTTTGGGGTCTCCACTCCCATTTTGGGGTCCCTCGTGGCGCTGCTGAAGGTTTTGACCCCAATTTTGGGGTTCCTGGGACGTTTTTGAGGTCGTTGGCCCAAATTTTGGGATCCTCCAGCCTGATTTTGGGGTCCCCCGGAGGCTTTTGGGGTCCCCCCAGCTCCACTGGAGAATTCCAGCCCAATTTGGGGACCTGCAGCCCCAGTTTTGGGGTCTCCCCTTGGTTTTGGGGTCTCCCCGTGGTTTTGGGGTCTCCACTCCAATTTTGGGGTCCCCAATACCCCGGCAATGGGATCAGGGGATTCCCTGGGGATTTTGGGTTTTTTTCCCAGGATTTTTTTGGGGAATTCCCAGAGTTTTTGGGGTCCCCCTGATTTTGGGGTCCCCCTCTGATTATGGGGTGCAGCCACCAAAGAAGGGGAGCCCCAGTGTCCCCCCAGTGCCACCGTGGGGACGGCAGCCCCCAAAACTCGGGGGGTTCCCTTTGGGATTTTGGGAATTTTTGGGGTTTTTTTGGGGCTGTTCCTGGGGTTTTTGGGGTCCCCCTGATTTTGGGGTCCCCCCTTGATTATGGGGTGCAGCCACCAAAGAAGGGGAATCCCATTGTCCCCCCTGGGGACGGCAGCCCCCAAAACTCGGGGGGGTTCCCTTTGGGATTTCGGGGATTCTCGGGGTTTTTTCGGGGCCGTTCCCGGGGTTTTTGGGGTGGCCCTGATTTGGGGGTCCCCCCCCGTTTTTGGGGCGCAGCTGCTGAAGAAGATGAGCTCCAGTGACACCCCCCTGGGCACGGTGGCGCTGCTGCAGGAGAAGCAGCGCGCGCAGAAGACGCCGTACATCGTCCTGAGCGGCTCCGGCAAGAGCATGAACGCGTGAGCGGCAAACTGGGAGCACTGGGAGGGACTGGGGGGGACTGGGGGGACCCAAAGGGGAGTGGGGGGGAACTGGGAGGGGGGGAAATGGGATGGATTGGGAGGGACCCAAAGGGGACTGGGAGCACTGGGAGCACTGGGACGCTGACCCCTCCCCCCTTTTCCTTGCAGGAACACCATCACCAAGTGAGGGGACACCCTGGGGACCCCTTGGGGACAACGCTGGACACCCTGGGGACACTTTGGGACTCTTCAGGACACCCCTGGCTGGGGACATTCCTGACACCCTGGGGACACCCTGGGGACACCCCTGTCCCCCTCCCCGCCCCTGGGGACAATAAAAGCCTCCGGGAGTCACTTTGTGTCACCGCGTGTCACAGGGGGGGGAGGGGACACACAGGAGCCACCCCGGTGCCACCAGCGCCCTTTATTGGGGAGCGTCCCCCCCCCCACCCCGCGCCCCCCCGTGAGAAGGTGGGACTGGGGGGCACTGGGAGGGACTGGGGGGGACTGGGATGGACTGGGGGGACCCAAAGGGGAGTGGGGGGGAACTGGGAGGGGGGGAAATGGGATGGATTGGGAGGGACCCAAAGGGGACTGGGAGCACTGGGAGCACTGGGACGCTGACCCCTCCCCCCTTTTCCTTGCAGGAACACCATCACCAAGTGAGGGGACACCCTGGGGACCCCTTGGGGACAACGCTGGACACCCTGGGGACACTTTGGGACTCTTCAGGACACCCCTGGCTGGGGACATTCCTGACACCCTGGGGACACCCTGGGGACACCCCTGTCCCCCTCCCCGCCCCTGGGGACAATAAAAGCCTCCGGGAGTCACTTTGTGTCACCGCGTGTCACAGGGGGGGGGAGGGGACACACAGGAGCCGCCCCGGTGCCACCAGCGTCCTTTATTGGGGAGCGTCCCCCCCCCGCCCCGTGTCCCCCCTGTCCCCGCTGTCCCTGTCCCCAGTGTCCTTTGGCTGCGGGGCCTCGGTCCCCACGCTGTCACTCGTGTCCCCCGTGTGTCCCCGGCTGCCGCGCTCCGAGCTGTCCCCGGTGTCCCCATCGTCCCCTTCGCTGTCCCCGGTGTCCTCGTTGTCCCTCTCATTGTCCCCATCGCTGTCCCCGGTGTCCTCCTCGCTGTCCCCGTCGCTGTCCCCCGTGTCCTCCTCGCTGTCCCCAGAGCTGTCCCCGGTGTCCCCAGGGGTCCCCCCCCGGTTGGTGTTGACAAAGAGCTCCTGGTCGTCACTGGGGGGGTCACACGGGGGGGTCACGGTGTCCCCAAAGTGCCACCGTGTCCCCAAAGTGCCACCGTGTCCCCAAAGTGCCATCGTGTCCCCAGTGTGGCACCGTGTCCCCAGTGTGGCACCGTGTCCCCAAAGGGTGACACCGTGTCCCCAAAGGGTGGCACCGTGTCCCCAAAGTGACACCGTGTCCACCATGTCCCCAAAGGGTGACACCGTGTCCCCAAAGGGTGACACCGTGTCCCCAAAGTGCCACCATGTCCCCAAAGTGCCACCGTGTCCCCAAAGTGCCATCATGTCCTCAGTGTGGCACCATGTCCCCAAAGTGCCATCGTGTCCCCAAAGGGTGCCACCATGTCCCGAAAGGGTGCCACCATGTCCCCAAAGTGCCACC